TGCGCGAAATTTAAAACAAACCAAGAAACGCTAGTAAATGAGGATGCCTAAAAATAATGTCAATAACGAATTCGATTTGGACACTGAGATTTCATTACAAGATTATCATCTTGAACTCGCATGGACAAAAAACAAAATACTGGCGATGGAACAACGCGAAAAGTCCCCTGGTGAGTCAGCGGTAAGTTTACGGACATACAATGCTAAAATCCTGGGTTCGATTTCTCGTTGGCCAGAGCGCAGATATCTCATTATGTAGCTTTGCGCAAAAACGAACAACGAAAACACCTACGCCGAATATGTTTTCCCACGATGGAAAAACGCTTTGCTTTCTTTTAATCTCAAATGGTGAAAACGCAATTGTTTTGAAAATACTTTATAAGCGACGAAAAAGGTATTGCGGAGATTTCGAGCTGTTTGAAAGTGAAATCTTAATCAGTATTCGTGCACAGTTTACTGAAGAAGTTTGAGTATGTTATATTAAAATAAGTTGAATGTGCAATTCAAGTGGCAGCCACAACTGAAATAACGATTGCGGTGGAACAGAATGTATCAGAACTATATTTTGACATTGTTTGGCAGTACGTAGGTAGTGTGATTTTACCTAAAATTGATAGCTTTTGGGAAGTCAAAGTAACAACCCTTTCCGATGCAAAATATTCATAAACTCAAATCATAAAGATGTGTTCAGATAGAAGGTTTATAATTTCCAAAACAAGGATATCCATTGTATTTACTGGCATCAGGAAACAAAGAAATATGGATTAACTTGGGGCCAGAACCATCCAGAAAGAGACCTGCAACAAGTTGTATCCCAACCTTAGTAAGCAAAATGCAACATCTTGTAGCAGGTGAGAGTACATGAACACAAAGGTCACTAGCAAAAGACGTTTACATGTCCAAGGCAACAGTACCGAACATAATTAAGAAGGATCTCCCACTAGAAAAGCAACACAAGTAATTTACTCAAATTGCTTCCACAACTTGTATGTTCAGTTGTTGCCTACCGAAGCAGCTGGAGAATGAAATTGGTATTCCTGCGAAGACAAGACGTACTACTCAATTCATCAGGCGCAGTTCCTGGGAATTTTCATGCAGGCGAACTCTTAAAATGGGTGTTGGAAAATGCTCGTAATCGTACACAAGATAATTATGGAAAGCATTCAGGGAGAATTGGTGTACTTTGGACATGACAGTTTACGACGGGAACATTTGCAATAGAAACTACGCTACAGAGTATAAGGCTATTGTCAAGATGTATGGCCGTCAGATATAGCGTGACCAAAAGGGGCAAGATGGACTGTAATGACATGCGGAAATTCCAAAATCGTTTTTAAGTAAATCTGATAGAGTTATTGATGCCGATATAGATGTGGTTAGAATGCGTCACAAACAAACTCCACCCTTTGAAGCATGGCGGATCCTCCTTCTCTCCAGTAATTTGTAACATAACAAATAAACACATTACAATGTTAGGTACCAAATAAATACATTACTACCATGGTATGATAAATTAGAAATTTATTAAACACAATACACGTTTTACAAAAGTCATCGATCAATAAGTGTCTGGCAAGAACTGTGGAATTAAATATATCAATCACAAGTAAATATTTGCAATAACACATTTCTTTTACAAACCAATATGTGTTTTTACAATATTTTCTCGACAGTCTCTCTTCACTTTTTTGTTTCATTTCAGTACACCCCTAGCGGCTGGTGGGCCATCAAAGGGTTGTGCCCTTTCTTTGGCCAAGAGACGGATGAAACTTTGGAAGATGAAGAATCTAAGTCATGGGCAAGAGGACTTAAATAAAATGATGTCAAAGTTTATTGGGGGCAACGACAAGTCATTTATAAAGTGTGGTAACTGAAAGTTGGCGTCTAATAACAATGATTGACATAAGTTGTCAAAGAATCAACCCATTAACCCTCTGGATCAATGTAACTGGGTAGATTCTGTTAAGGAGAGTCATCATAATAGGGATCCTCAGCTGGAAACGACGTCACACAAAGGTTCAGTAAATGATCAAGCGGGGGTAAGGTTTTGCAAGGTGGTCATACAGGCATGGAGAGTAGATTGGCAAATATTACATTTTCATTGAGATAACGTCGGTGGACATATGGGGTGCAAAGGTCTACCATAGTTGGTGGGAAGGTGATGCGTTTATAGAGTTCTTGTGTAAGATTATACAGTTTAATATGAAAGGTTAGCCTAAAAGCAAGACATTCCAGAACTTAAAGTCTGTGATAAAAGTTGGAGGGAGCAGAAAGCCAGGGAGTGCGACCATAAGTGAGAAAGGGCGGAATGAAGGTCTTGAAAGTATTGGGTCGTCAAGAAATTAATGTCGTTTTTTTTAGATGAAAAAAACCCGAACAACTTATATATCAAAACATTTGAAAGTAAGATATAAAACCAGAATAGGCAGTTTGTAAATTTAATTGAAACATTACCTTGGCATCGTAGTGTATAGAGTCGAGAACAAAAGATATCAAAAAGGGATGAGGATT